AAAAAAAAAAAAAAAAAAAAAAAAAAAAAAAGGAAAAAAAAAATGTAAAACACCTAAAATATCTCTAAAATCCTCTCACAACTTTATTTGAGATGAGCTATTAGCTAAAATTTGTTTTAGCATAAAAAATACCCTAAACAAATATTATTTATTTCAAATGGTTATCTTACTTTTAAATATTTGTCCATATTGAACTTATTTGACCCTCAGTGATGTTTTAGTAAACCATAATCATTTGAAAAAATGAATCTAATTGGAGACAGGGCAAACTTCCAGAAGAGAAAAAAAGTAAATCTTCGGAAGCATGAAAAACATTGGCTTTGCTTGTTATTTTCTACCATCCAATCTGGCCGTTTTTACCAAGTACTCTTCGTTCCTGGAAAATGGCATATTGTAATTTTGGAACTCACCAATGGTAACATCAGAGGAACTGTGTGTTTCCAAAAAACTGTTGAGATGATGCCACATCTTAGGAATCCAATCTATAATTTTGACTAGGTCATTATTGCGTATATTCCTTTCAATTTCTAGCTCTATCAGTTTCCTTCGAAGGTATCTGCCTAAAAAGCCTTTCACTGGTTCTGTGTGGTTGGCACATAATACCCACCTAAAAAAGGAAAAAAAAAAATCAGAAATTTTATGTAAATTTAAATTTTAGGTCCACAGTGATTCCCTTTCCAATAGAAAGTAATAATTTCAATTGGTGGCTGCATTTTAATGATCAAAGGGGTTAGGAGGTATATTAGCATGAGAGCTGTAATGTAGCTAACTCTACTTTTTGAGCTCAGGAGAAGCTCATGTGCGTCAGGAGTGAGTGGGAGTCGACACGCTGAGCACTCTGCTGTAGGAGAATCACAAATCTTGAAATAGGATCTCTCTTTCACATTCCTCACACTTAGAAGAAAAGTGCTGTGCTTTATCAGGGGACAAGTGAGCAAGAAAAACAGTTCTTTTTCTTTTTTCTTTTTTTGAAGAAACACTTCCGATTACAAGTTGAGGATCACAAAATCCTGCTTGAGAAAGAGCGTCAGAGGAAGTGAGAATTATTTTCACATCGCAGGTCTCAGAGTGGCAGGATTTGTCACCATACAAACAGAAAAACAACCACCAACTCAAACAGAAAGAAACAATACAACTCCCCCCCCCCAACCTCAATTTATCTTTACCTGAAATTGTGATGCAGCTCTAGATTTGGTGATGAAGAAACTCCCTGATTCATTGTTCCAATAATGTATGGACTAGGTAAAAAAAAATAAAGAAAGAGAGAATAGAAAATTCAGATGTACTGAAAGTAAAAGTGATTAATCCATTAAAATCATCATAGAAAACCACATAAATACAGATTTTCTATTTTAACATTAGGCCTTAAAAGGGTAATTTTTAATGTTAGTTTGGAAAATGACAAAAATGATTTTACTGAAAATTAATATTTGAGATTCTCATTTCAGCTCTGGCATCAAGGCAAAGTGTTCTCGCTCTCTGAACTGAAGCAAAGAGTTTAGATAGAATAATCACAATGGTCTTTTCTCACTCTACCATCTTATAAGTCTTATGCTTATAATTAAATATACTGATTTTTCCTATTTTAATATTTCATAGTTAAAGTCCTTAATAACATGAGAGGATCTGTATTCTTTCAACCCTTATTTTATGCTGATCTATTTGTAATATTTTTTAAATCTCTTGCAGAGATTAATTAGTTGGGATATTTGGCAGCATTAAAATAATATCATTTATGCTGATAAACATAACATACCCTACTTTGTTCTTTCCTTTCATTGTAAATAGTTAAATATCTGAATTATTAAATTTATCTGTACAGAAAAGTTGAATTTAAACTTTGATATGGACTGAGAATGAAACCAGAGATCTAAAGTCTTTTTCTGATTTTTAATTTCCCTGATTCAAACTATTCTATCAATTGACATTGGTCTCCCAGACTTTCAGTATGTCTGTAGAAGCTAACATCAGCCAGAAAGTAATGTTTCCATAAAAGTGCCTGGCACATAGTTGTAAAATAACTAAGTAGATATTCTAAGGAATACATAAAGATTCTTTGGAAATATGATATAATATTAATAAGGGTTTTTCACATTAATGGCATCCATTATAGTTCTAAAAATGAAAATCATGTGAGGAAATGCATATGTTAATTAGCTAGACTTAATCATTCCACAAAGTATACTTCAAAACATCATGTTATACACAATGAATACATACAATTTATTTAATGAATAATTTATTAAAATATTAATAATAATAATAA